CCCCCCCCCCCCCCCCCAAAGCCGTACCGGCACACATACAACGGGTCAATCTACGACATTTTTCGCTACATGATTCCCCCGATCGTGTCCCAGCAACACAAAGGGGTGGCCAGGACGGACGGTGGGCAAAGCATGCAAAACCCCCACCAGTTTCGTACCGGGCGTTGCAAACCAGAGCTGGCGATACACGTACATGTACCATCGAAGAAGCGAGTCTATGTGAAAGGACAGGCACAACCTAGCCGGGTGGAGTTGACGGTTCATCCGCGGACGTACCGTTGACGAAGCAAGACTGCTGCTGTTGCGTAAAAGGATAGCGCACCTCCTAGCCGGGCGGCGTTGCCGTGGAAGGTGTTGGTCGTGCCATCTTGAGTGGTTACCGTTGAGGCGTCCTGGGCGTGCACGGCACCTGTGCGGGTTCCGTGGATGGAAGGGTTGAATACGCGGTTGTGGTAGGGGTGTTGTTGCTACGGCAGCTGTCGCGATGGTCGTGATACTCCAGGTGCCAGTTTGCCACGCGAGGGCAGGGCCTAGATGCTTGTCGTACTCGAGAGGCGAGAAAGCGGCTACGGCGCTAATCCGGCTTCAAACTAACGCCAGCCATCTTGCTGATTCTCGGCGCGGTGTGACTCATAACGCTGGAGACGCTGCGAACGCCGCTGCCGTCATCTTGTTCATCCGAAAAACACCTTCCTTACATCACGCCTCTTTGCAGTGCCTTTTGTCGCCTCTGATCGGAACCACGTCCAACGAAACGGGTCCCTCGCGCGAGAAAATAGCGCAGCACAACTCCCCTCGAAAAAACAAAACTCGGCCAGATTCGCCCGCCTCGTTGGCCGTCATTGTCGTTCAACACGCACTCGTGCTCCCCCAAGCATCTACAGATGCAGCTAGGGGGACCAGCCAAAGACCATCGAGAAGACGTCGGAGAGAAAAAGCGTCGGGTACACTCTCCCCTTTTGGGACTCCCGATGTGCGAGGGCATGGCAGGTATCGTTTACATTCGGGGCGGCAACACACACAAACAAGCCTCCCCCCCAAACCTCGTTCGAACCGAAACCCCAAACGGAGCAGGCCAACCCTCAAGACCACTCCACGTGTAAAAAAAGGCTTCTGTTTCTAGATTGCTCCATCTAGGGACCGTGACCAGATTCTATACTTACCCTTGCACCATCTTCTTTTCAATTCAAGTCTTGGAATACAACGTCATCCTGCACTCGTTAGTTCTTCGTGTTTGGTAGCCCCCAACGTCGATGATTCTATTCCTTCTCAATGATGGGCGGGAGAAGCGGCTGCAAAACTCTCGAGTGCTTGGTCCCATTTCTGCACTCCAAATCGAACGCGCACCTCCATAGATGTCCGCGGAGTTGCCTGTAAAGTTTGCTCCTCCGGCGTTCAAGCTGGACCCTCCTTCCAGATAGACGGCACCTGTCGATCGGGGTCCCAGCGCGAGGCATGCAGTGCACGAGACGGGCCAGGTGACAATGTTGAGAGAGCGGCATGTTCGAGGAGCCATCAGAATCAACAAGGGTCACACGTTGCTGTCGTTGCTGTTGTTGTTGTTGTCGTCGTCGTCGTCGTCGTCGTCGTCATCGACGTGGTGGTTGTTGTTGAGATCAAAACTGTGGCAGCAAGAACACTTTCGTTCGCCAGCCACACGCTCACTGCTTCCGAATACACACTTTAACCAAAGCAGCAATGGCCCGGCCGTCGTTGCACTTCGCTCTCCACAATCAATCGTCTATCGCAGTGTGCATCTACGGTAACCCCCATCTCTCTCCGCAAAACGCGCAGATGAATGAGTGATCAAGACTCCCCCCCCCTTGGAGGTAACACGTGTCTGTTGTTCAGGCGAACAGCGGTGTCAGACATATGCGTGGTCGTAAGTTCCGACGTTTGCGTCGGCGGCGTGCCAAGGGGGCACTCACGGCCGAGAGGGCGCGCCAAGTACTTTCGATGAACGGGCGCGAAAGGTCTTGTTGAATGGTCAATAACGTGTCCCCTTGTGTACGAAGAGGCCCAATGGAGACGAGAAGCCGATAGGAATTGGCCCGACGATGGCTCATTGTCCGCAGAGCGATATCGAGACGAGACTAATACGATAAGCCGTGTCACTGTCGGCACGAGAAGGCGCAACGCGGCAAACGTGCGCCCGCTATCTACGTTATAGAACGGAACTAAAACAGCAAGCGGGTGCGGCCGGTGCGGCCGAGCACCAGCAACCTCCAGGCTTGTCGCGGCGGTGGGACCAATATCATCATGGGTCGCTGTTGTCTTTCAGGTAATAGCTGGTCGGCCGTTCTCGCTTCCTTTCGCGACAAACACGCCACCGTGGGGGCAAAAGCTGCGACGCACCACAAGTGACGCACGCAACACGAAGAACAACAATTTTCTGCGACACATGTGCGATCTGGTCGTAACCAGAGCAGGCGGTGGGGGGCGCGCGGTGAGCTTGCTACGCGGCTGCATATCGGGCCGACATCCAACGATGAACAACTCAAGATCGGCGCATGTGGGTTGCAACCCAAACTCATCATCGGGGGTTGGTTGGGAAAACGACAGCTAAGGCTTTGCATGCAACACAGCCCTCGCACGGGCGGGTGTGTACAGCAGTACTCCCACCTAATGGTTACAGGAATTTTCTTAACTCTGGTGTCAACCATGATGGGAGAAACGCATGGGAGACCCTGTGGCATCAACCCCAAAGCGTCAGCGATTGCCGTTTCGTTTTGTGGAACACACAAGGAATTGGCCTTCACAGCTGCTGAGGGCGGGGAATGTGTAAATGTTCCATCCTCGTATTGTAACGTTGAAACACTCCCGTACGAGGCGACGACCTTATGATGTAGTTCGAAAAGAAAGGGTTGAACCTGAAAGACGCAGTCTCTTGAATTACTACACAAACCTAGTCTACCAACCTAACACCTAATGGTTGATGGAAGGGCTTATCTGGTACCCAACAAGCACCCCAACTTGAAAAAAATAAAATATGTGTGTCGTCGTGAACACATTTAGTTGCGTGGGTGGGTTGGCGATCATTGTTGTTGTTGTCGTCGTTACATTAATTGGCCAAAGCTAAACTGATTAAATTAGGTCTACCATATTTGACCACGATATGGTTTTGTTTTGATCGGTTTCCGAGGACTATTTTCTCGAACGGTCGGTGCGGTAGCGGTTCTTTTCTGAATATCATCTTGTTGTCTTTCCGAATGGTTTGTACCCTATTTTTTTTTTGTTTCCCCGCGGCGTCGTATGTGCCGGGTTTTTGACCACGGGCTCTCCATTTTTTGTGGACTATAGCGCTAATGTGAGAAACAACAGCAGAAACAAACAACTGAGTGACCCCGGTTGGGTCGTCTAGCTAGTAGATGTGGAGGATAGGGGCCAGAGGGGCAGACGACAGAGTCCAATAATGGGAGAAAAAAAGGAAAATAAATATCTACACGATGCCTATCTTTGCGCAGGATTTCTTTTTCCCCTCTACAGATATGTTCAAACCCGCACACGAGCTGGAAGTATTTTGGATTCAAAGCACCTGTACAGAAGACGATGGTGCTTCGCCTCAACCCCCCATCCATGAAATACTGCTATTACAACGCTCCTCTCCGAGAAGCAGTCGAATACTGTAGTGTTCTTCAAAGTATCGTCTCGCTCCCCTGGACAGGAAAGGTATCAACGGGCAGAGCCAGCTGTTAGCTGTCTGTGTGCCGTGGGGATCAAATCGTTTCGTTCCAAATAGTGTAGTCCAAGTGCGCTTCGCGTTGCCATTATTACGAGCGCGAATAAATGGATTAAATTGCCAAGGTTGCCGGCACCGTTCGCCGTTCGTTATCTATGGTACATACCACTTTGCTGCTATGCATCCACGTGACATCTCCATAGGTGGTGAAGAATGTGCTCGCCATATACCACAGGCCAAGAGGAAAAGGATCAGGGCATGCATATGACGAAACAACTTGCGGACAGATTTCTATTCCCTCTGCCGCCTCGCATATTATCCTCTCACACCTCCACGACGAGCAGCGCGGTCCATGAGCATAACGAATTTGGTACAAATCTGTCCTCACTCACCTCCCTTCGATCCTGCTCTGTTGCTGTAGACATCGCAGTCCACAAGCGTCACCGACGATCCTCCCACCGCTGCCACCGCCCCTCCATCAACTCCATATCCCCCCGTGAGGCCAACGCTCTCTAGGTATAGCACAGAGAACTCGGACGCAACGAAGAGGCTGACCTCCCCTCCCCCATTCGCCACAGACTCCTCCTTGCTCTCTCCGGTTATCCTCAGAATCGTCGCGTTAGTCAGCTGCAGCGGTTGGCTGAGACCGATGGTCCCTCGCCAGTACACGTTGAACTCGAGCCCAGGGCATGCGGTCAGGTCTGCACCCAAAGTCAAGGCGTGGTCAGCCGTCGAGACCACGCGGGCGTCTTGCGTCAAGCTGCCGCAGTAGACATCAACGCTGCTCAAAGCTTGTTGAGCGAGAGCCCCGGAAGGCAAGCCAGTAGAGGCACACAGCAGTAGTAGTCTCAGCACCACCAGCGCAGCACTCGCTGCTGCGCCCATGGCTGGTGCCGCTGCCGCTGCTGCTGCCGTTGTCGACTCGCAGTGTGCTACGGACGACGACGGACATAGACCAGTCAGCTGGGAGCCTACTACTGTGCGTCCATACGAACGATACGTGTGTTATGTATGTGTGCGGACAGTTCACGCCGCCAACTAAAAGGCAGCAAGATCCGGCCCCCCGAGACTGGGCGAGATGGGAGACGGGAATCGCTAAAGCCAACAAGCTGTGTATGGTCGCACATGAATCATCACGAACTGGCAGAGATATGGTAAGTTCAACTCAGGTTGCCGAGATGGCTCTTGGGAATTGGTTCCAAGCCCGCCGGTTGTCGCAGGGTCGATCGTGTTGTCTCACATCACGAACAAGCTAAAATAGGAGCGAAAGGCTGTTGCTCCCATGTGGACACGGCTGCAGCGAGAGGGAGGGTACCAGTCAAAGATATCGCCTCCTCATCACAATGATGAGCTCCTCGGAACAGCCAACCATTACTTAATCTTTTCTGGTTCTTAGCAAAGCAGACTGGAGGTTGAAGGAGGAACCACAAACAACCCGTGGACAGTTGTTGCCACGCGTCCACTCCTCGGAACAACCAACCATTGCATATTCTCTTCTGGTTCTGAGCAAAGCATACTGGAGGTTGAAGGACGGACAAAAAACATCCCGTAGACTGTCCAGTTGTTGCCACTCGTCCGTCCAAGTGGGTGTTTTCCCCATCTAAGCTATATGTACCCCAATTGTTCCTCGCTAGATGGCTATGCGTACCCCAGGGAGCAAAATGAACAAGTTGCCCCGCCCCGCGGGAGTGTCTCTGATTGGAGATTTGTCATCCGTTTGTTGGATACCACCGCCCCCCCGCACCCCGCACCCCAGAACGCGGGGCAGGCCGCGCGTTATCCTGCATCGGTGTGGATGGGTGTCAATGTACAGTAGTAGTCCCGGCGCCCAAACGAGATCTGGTGCTAATGTCGGCCGTCGGCAGGCAGTCTTGATGATGTGCGGATCACAGCCCGTGCGGAGGGCATGATGATGAATGGTGACAGAAACATGCGCAGGCTTGGTGCGACGACTCTCTCGTCTCCTGAAACGACCGACAAAAAGAACAAGGCCGAGATTTGTCATAACTCTCCGGTGCCCGCGCGCAACACCAAGTGTTGTGAGAAACGCCGTGTGAGAAAGCGCTGGCGTTGTTTCACACACACACCAAGAAGCACCAGTCGAGGAACCAAGAACAATTATTTGTGTGGCTCGACAGCAGCAATCGCGAATACACATGCATGGTGTTGCAGGCTATTTAGCCCCGCTCAAAGCAACAAATAGCAGTCTCAACCTCCAACGGGAAGGGGTGGGCCACGTGCGGGGCAGAGGCCTCGTCGAATCAACAGTAATAATACTAAATGAGAGTCATCAACAACGGCGTGAAGAGCTGTATTTATGCGATGACATGTGCACACATGCTGCTGTACAGAGTGGATATATACGCTTTCAACGGGTGACTCGTTGCCTGCCATGTCATTGCTGCCAGGCACAGCGGGGCGAAGGAAATTGTTGCCTCAGAGCAGTAGTCTAGACGAAAATAAGTGGCTCCGCTCTTTCTGCCTGTCTCCAATGAACACCACCGGACGGAAGGCGCCCTCGACCTCGACCACTTCACAGTAGACTGGCATGGGCTCCATAGCATCCCCTTGAGCCCTGTCTCAAGCCGGTGGCCCTTCTTCGATATCTCCTTATAGTCTTCAAGTATACTCTAGTCTTTTGTATGCACAATGTCGTGTTTTGTAGTTTGTGAAATATCCAGGTTGAATGTTGATTGAGGTCGATATATTGTGCCCACATGATCTTCGCGGATTTTTTTGATGCAAGGTCAGGAGATCCGAGCTGGTTCTTCACCGGTCGGCGCTGTTGTTTTTGCGGCATTAGTCGACGCCGCAACCCGGCCGTTTTATCTGTAGTAAGATTACACTTTGGTTCGAAGAAAATAATGAGTGCCGCCAGCATGCACTTGTAGATAATACGAATAATACTTTACTGGCACAGACGAAGATCATTAACACGCTGAGGGCCTGCTTGTTCGTAAACTGCCACTCCCTCCTTCGGCCCGAGTGCTTGATGGTCAGACGAGGTACTGCGCTGCCCTAAATGGTAGCAAAGCCGTCCGCGCCAGCGGCTCCAGCGGGATCAGCATCTGAAAGGACCACCGAAAAACTCTTCGGACACGTTCAACTCGTGCCCCTCCTGAGTCCCGCACGTCGGGTTCGACCTCCTCGCTACCACCGATGCAGACGAGTCCGGCATGTAGATCGCTCGCTGCTCGGGCATCTGGCGCCGCGGCCCCGATGGCGAAACTGGAAAGAAGCTCTCTTTGGCTGCCGGCGCCGCCACCTCCCTCCCGTTGTCTGCATTTTCGGCGTCTTCCCCTGCTGACACTCCCGCCTGGCCGTCCGTTATTTTCCCTCCCTACCCCCGCGTGTCTCCGCCGGGGGTGTCCGAAACCGCCTCCACCGCGGCCGCCACCGTCGTTGTTCCTCTCGGCATAGAGCGGGTTGTGTGTGCTCACTTCCTCCCCTCCACTCCCCTCGCTGTTATCGTCGCCACCGCCGTCGCGGCTGTCCTTTTCGGTTCCGCGGAGACCGCCTTGGCTTGCGATGAAGGACCAATCGGTGGCCACGCTGGCGCGGCCCTCGGCAGGGGTGGGAAATACCGTCTGTCGCTCGTTTTTCTCGGTCTTTGCCTCCCAGCCCATGAAGATGAGCAGCCCTTGGCCGAGAACCACGACCACCATGCAAGCGTGGGCAACCACAACTACGACGGCGAACACCTGTGTTTTACATGCCCGCACCGCATGTGCGGTTATTTCTCTCGTTGATTGGTGTTGCAATGTTGAAGCGCTTTGGCACAAAATACGAACACGAAACAAAGACACGCCTACCAGTATGGAGAGATCGCCAAAACGAGGGTGGCGAAAGAGGACACCACTGGATACACGCATCTATTGTGGTGGGAAAAGGACATCGGGCGGTATGCACCCGACGAGAAACGATGCGTCATTTAATCCCGCCCCTGTTTGCCTTTGGGAGACAAGGTGGCGGCCTGAAACGCCGAAAAAGCGGTACAGTAGAGCAAAGCCCACATGCAACAGTAGGCAATTGAAACATCAGGCAACATAAAAGACTCGCTCCATCCCTCTCTTGGCTGCCCGAAAAATGCACGCATGAACCTCTGAAGCATTGGACAAAATGTCTCTCACCCCTTGGCTCTGGTTGCGCTCGTCGGAGACATCCACCCGCAGCAAGGCCAGGTACATGCTGGCGAAAACCACGTAGTGTCCGGCGCGGTAGAGCCTCATCTCGACGGGCCGGGCGATGGGCGACAGGATCTCGGACACCACCATGAAGACGACCGCGAGGAGCAGAACGATCGTGATCTGTGCGGAGCTGTCGGGGTAAATGAAGACCGCGAACCCGGTGAGGGCGATACGTCGGAAGTACTTGATCACCTTGTGGTTTGAAGGGGGAGAGAGAGGGTCAGATAGAGAGAGAGAGAAAAAGGGAGAGAGAAATAGAGAGAGAGAGAGAGAGAGAGAGAGAGAGAGAGAGAGAGAGAGAGAGAGAGAGA